AACTTTAGACGAGAATTCTTAATTATGTTAACAAGCTTTTCAAACAATTTTCTGTGTGTATTTAAGAATTCAGTTTTCAACACACACTTCTACTGCTCTGTGGAGCAGTTTTTGTTTGTTTGTTTGTTTAGGTCAAGGGATTGTGATGAGTGATTTGAAATATTTGCTATTCATATGCTGAAATTTTATTTTTAATTTTTATAAAAAGCTAGTTTTGCTTATTATGCAATAATAATATTTTTAAAAGTTAAGGACTTACGTTTTTAAAGAAACCCATCTTTCAGAAATGTCTTTGTTTGCTCACTAGAAAATTGACTTAAGATTTCTCCTTAAGGGAATTTGGTTAATATTCTAAATTGTGTTTGCTAACTGAAGCTGGATTCTAATTGAATATTCTCATTTTGTCTATGTTTCTGACAGATCTTATACTGCAATAAATTCTTCAAAGGGCAGATAACTCAATCTTCTACTGTCATCTTAAGTTTACTACAGAATGCTCTGATAAATATCAAATGTTATTTACCACTGAAGCTGTATGAAATTTCAGTGTGACATATGCTTAATTGCAAATGTGATCTTTAAAATTTAAAGACAAAATATTTAGAATATGTTTGGTAAGATTCTATGTTTGCAATTCAATGTATGGTGTGTGTGTGTGTGTGTGTGTGTGTGTGTGTGTGTGTATACACAAATACATATGTACATATACATACAGATACATATACATGAATGAAATGTAAGTCAAAGATCTGTTTTTAATCTTTGCCAAAAAAAAAAAAGTAACAAGACTGATTGGTAATTCAAGTAATAGCAAAAGAGACAGACAGACAGTTCTTCTATCCTACCAAACATGATAAATTGTTATTTAGCAGAATATATAGAATATAATACAAAGGAGGAAAGACAACGACATATGTTGTGCCAACTCCCAAGGATGAATAGACAGGAGTCTAAATAGTAAAGTTTCTCTAATGAGTGGTAAGACCATAATCTTTATTGTGAGATGAATGGATAAACAAACAAACAAATAAATTTCTTTCTATCTGAACCTTGATGTGAGTTAAAAGTGTATCATGAGCATTTAAATAGAATTATACATTTTTTAAAAAAATTCTTTACAATTCAATGGAATGGGACCAAAATTGATGTGACAGAGACAGCAGGTAAAAACATTCCAGAAAAATGGAACTGGAAACTATCATCCAGTGCAGTTATACAAGGCAAAGGGTTTAATCAAAAGGGATGGGTAGATTAGGAATAACAAAATCTGGAATCACAGAATAAAATTAAGTCCAGATAAGGTCACAATTCCAGGGATCTCATTTGGACTGGGTAATATGTGTCTCTGTGAACTATTTACGAATCCTGTGGAGGACAGAAAATGATCCCAGAGCATATAACTCTGAATGTGGTTTCCACATATCGTGTTGAGTTTCTCAGGACTGTTGCTTAGCATATTGGGAATTACTATGGCAGAAAAGCAACTTCTTTACTTTGATAATCTTTATATATCATATACATGGTGAGCAATAAGCATATTCCACAGTTTGACATAATCAACAAACTCGAAGTCTTCCTGAAATTAATGAAATGCATACTGTTTTGAGGATATTTTACGGTTTATTCAATTATTCAGTGTGCATTCATAATATGTTCTTCCTCAATCTTTTCCAAAGCTTGAACATCTGGCATCTCCCTTTCCATGTAGGAATCTAAACAATGTTGGAGATAAGCATTATTTTATCAACGTGTGAAATTAAGGATATTGTATAATAGTTTGCACACTCTGTTGAGTATTCTTTCTTTGATACTGGAATGCAGATTTATATCCTCCAGTCTGTTAGTCCCAGTCTCATCCTACCGATTTGCTGGTATAGCTTGATTAAGATCTCATTCTTTGTTTTTTCTGTGGCTGTTCACCAATTCCTGCAGCCTTCCAATTTGGTAATGATAAAATCTAACTTCATCTTCAAGTATGAGAAGGGAATTTCTAATATATTTTAAATGTTGAAATTTCTATTACATACTATTTCAGTTTTCTTTTGCCTTACGCTAATCCCCTTTGAATCAGTTACTATCAATTCATTGGTGTCAATTTGAAATTGAAATCCTTTTCTGGGGTTCAGAAATATTTTGAGAAACGTCTCATTTTTCTGTATCGGTTTCCATCTTCAGTATCATTACAGATGTTATTGTAATACTGCCTCATTTCACTTTTAAGAGCTCTCTGAAATTATTCGTTCTTTCCTGGAAGCTTTGTCTTTCTTGGTTTTAGTATCTCTTTTTTTTCTTGGCAATTTCCATTGTTTGTTCTAACATCCAGTTCGCTGCTTCTCTTTCTTGGGTTTCAGCAGTACCTGAAAATATTCCTCCTTTATATTTCCAACTTTGCTATTTTTGTTTGCATGTTCTGTTGATTAAAATCTGAATTTGTTTATAAAACTCATCAACCTCTTGTTCTTCTGTATTCTTGATTTTAGCATAAATGTGAATAACTGTCATATTAAAGAACTGCCCATTAAGTCTAATTGTTACTGTTCAGTTAGTGATAGCATAGTGGCCAAATACTATTTTTGCTATGCCTTTGCTGAATATACTGTTCCTTGTTGTTCATGTCCTGAGTTATAAACAGTGGAATACTGGAAGTATCCAATATTCATTTCAATTTGCTAGTATCTAAGATGTCAGTGTGTGTTCAATTCATTTTACCCTTCATTATGTTGAACTTTTTCAAGTTTATATTTATATTTCATGTTCCCACTGTAATTCTATCTTTGCATCTTTGGATTTTCTTTTCCTGCATGGAAACCTCAGCAATTAGACATCTGGAAGACTTTAAACTAGCCACATCATAAACACCATTATATTCCAAAAGATCCTCAGTTTTTCCTCAGTAGTAAGGCAGTCTTTCTATTAATGTGGTTTTCTTGGTAAAATACAGGAGCAGTTTACCACTGCTTTTTCCCACATAGTATAAAATGATTCCTTTTCTGTATCTTCCACCTCTAGAATTCTATTACATAACTGGTGCTCAATTTAGATGTGTACAGCCTGAAGCAGACAGATAGGATGACCTTCACACCTTGTATGACTGCTGAGAGTATGCAAGTATGTATATGCGCGCGCGCACACACACACACACACACACACACACACACACACACACACACACAGCTGAGAGTATATATTCTCAGTATATACTTCTGGAATTCTCTGCTCAATCTTTCCAATAAAAATATTCTAATCGCATTTTAGCCATGAAAAACTGGTTGAGTGACTTTGGGCCAGTCACTTTCTCATAGCCCAAGTACCGTATATACTCGAGTATAAGTCGACCCGAATATAAGCCGAGGCACCTAATTTTGCCACAAAAAACTGGGAAAACTTATTCACTTGAGTATAAGCCGAGTTTTTCAGTACATTTTTTATGCTGAAAAAACCCCCTCGGCTTATACTCAAGTGAGATTCCCTCTGAAAAAAAAAAAATGGTGTGGAGCTCCGGAGCTGGGCAGCCACTTCCCTGCTTCCGTGTTTCCTTTGCAACTTGTAAGCATGGGGGTAATCGGAAGCAGAAAAGTTCTTGCATGAGGATATATTGTTTTTTCTTTATTTAACTGTTTTTAGGGGGGGAAAAAGACCCACTGTCATGTGAGAATGCTCAGACACGAAATCTATCTGCCTGAAAATAAGTGGGGGGGGGGATTTTAACAGAGGGAAGACATAGGGAGAAGGCAAAAGCGACGGAAGATCCTTCAGGGGAAACTGAGGGGGAGACTCACCCTTGGTCCAGATGAGCCCCCTTCCCCACCCCTAAGGAAACAGAGGCAGCCAGCAAGGGCAGGCAAGCCCCGCTTCGTGGACTCCGTCCATCCTCGCTCCCACCCACCCACCCAAAGCCACGAAGTCCCCCAATCGCGCAGCCCAGAATCGCCCTCCCCTCAGGGGGCAGCAACGACACCCGGTGTTTCCTGAAACAAGAAGCTCCGCTGTGCAATGAAATCGCCCTGGCTCTAGGCTCAGAAAACAACGCGAGCCGAGGTGGCTTTGTTTCCTCAGCCCTAGCTGCTTTCAGTCCGCTCGGGAGGAGGAGGGGGAGGAGGAGGTGGTGGCAGCGGCTCGCATTGTTTTCTGGCACCGGGAGTCCAGTCTCAGAAAACAATGCGAGCCGAGGTGGCTTCGTTTCCTCAGCCCTAGCTGCTTTCAGTCCCCTCGGGAAGAGGAGGGGGAGGGGGAGGGGGCGGCAGCGGCTCGCATTGTTTTCTGAGATCGCAGAAAACAACGCGAGCTGCTGCCGCCACCTTCTCCTCCCCCTCCTCCTCCCGAGCGGACTGAAAGCAGCTAGGGCTGAGGAAACAAAGCCACCTCGGCTCGCGTTGTTTTCTGAGATCGCAAGCCTAGAGCCTAGAGCTCAGAAAATAACGCGAGCCGCTGCCACCCCCTCCTCCTCCCCATGCTTACAAGTTGCAAAGGAAACACGGAAGCAGGGAAGCGGCTGCCCAGCTCCAGAGCTCCACACCATTTTTTTTTTCAGAGGGAATCTGACACGAGTATAAGCCGAGGGGGTTTTTTTGAGCACAAAAAATGTGCTGAAAAACTCGGCTTATACTCGAGTATATATGGTAATTTCTCAGGGTTATTGTTGCAGGGAGAATAGGAGGAGGACATGTTCATTGTCCTGAGTTATTTGTAAAAATAATCAACATAATGCAGCAGATATTTCACACAATTCTAATAACAAAATTTACATTTAAACTGTAATGGAATTGGTAATCTACACCAGCAATATTAGAATACTGTTACTTTTAAATATGTGAATAAAGAAGATTCTAAATATGATACTATTTGTTTCTATAGAGTTTAAATTAATATGCATGATTTCTATTAAAATGAATATAGATTTTGAATAACAATAGTCAAAGTTTTCCTTTCAAAATCTATTTTTCAAATGATGACAAGTTAAGTGAAAACAGAACTCCAGAGTTTCAACAACTGAGGCTTACCTCAAATTCTGCATGTTTGTGTACATCTTCAGCTCTTTGTCTGTTCAAAATAAACTCTGCTTCATTTGCAACTCTTACAATGTGATCCTTCATTGCATGACACAATAATCTAGGGGAAAAAGTGAATTGATCTCTCAGACATGAAACATTGCATTAATCATCAATTCATTTGTTTACATTAAGAGTAAAATAATTTATTAATTATTTGCTTTGTCAAAACAACAAAACTCCAAAGCAATTTTTTATCCACAACGGCCTAATTAAGAAGTTTATAAGTTTCCTTTTCAATTTTTAACTCAAAAAAGCAACAGTAGAACAGCACACAGTAGTGAAAATGGCTCACTAGTGTACATATGTCAAACTCGATCATGTCACATGACATCGCATAATGTATAGTGATGTTTTTTCGCCTTTGAGGAGCCAGGGTAGATGTGGCCTGCATGTGATGTATCTGATGTGTGGACCACCTGTTTGACACCCTGCACTAGTGTATTGCTTGACTCTGATCAAGATCTCCCCCTTCCCTCAATTTTACTTTTTAGGAGAATGTTAATAAAAAGAAAATGGAAAGATAACATGTAGAAAGCAAAGCTTCGGCCTGAAAATCAATTGCAATAAACTGCATTATCAATAATGCATTGGGTCCTACTGAAGAAATATTTTTAGATAACAGATAATCAGAGTTGGAAGGGACCTTATAGGTCGTCTACTCCAACCCCTCATCCAAGTGGGAGACCCTACACCATTTCTGACAGATGGAGTCCAATCTCTTCTTGAAAGTCTCAAGTGATGACACTCCCCAAACTTACGAGGGCAAGCTGTTCCATTGGTCGATTGTTCTCACTGTCAGAAAGTTTCTCCTTATTTTCAGGTTATTTTTAGCTGGTTGAAATCCATTATTTTTCTAAGTGGCCACATCAGTCATGATAACCATTATGTGACAGTCCCAAAAAGTCACTCTCAAACTTCTAAACATTCCCACTAACCCAAAGACCACTGCTTTAGTTTCCTAATTTAAATCCAGACTCATTAGTAACAAATTGAGTTATAAAAACTTTGTGAAAAGTTCATATACATAAAAAGCATAATCTAATCACCAAATGATTATTATTATTTTTTAAAATAAAACACTATTATTTGGTTGACATATAAGAGTTAATATTACAGTATGTCTGATCCAACTGAATACAATAAACATGTTATCATAGACTTCAGTAGATTTTAAACAATAACGCTTTTAAAAGTCTTATTTTTATGTTGCTTCTTCAAATGCAAATAGTTTTGGAAATTCTTTGTAGATTAAAAAAATGTTCTCTAATTGGTGTTTTCTTTTTTGTAAGGTATACTGACTATTACAATGAATCTTCCAGCTCCTAATGCACTGTTTCTGGTTTCTGACAAAGTCAGAAAAGCAAATCATTCATGTTGCATGTTTTTTCATCAAGAGAGAATCTCAGATATGTTGCTATCAAATTAGTTTTGAACATGAATTATAAGGTGTCTTCCAGATATCTTTACAATAAAATTTCTAGTTTTAATGAATTTGATGATGTAGAAGAATCCTTATATCCAAACTATTAAATGCAGCTTTGCAGACAAATTGAACCCAAGAGTATTTATTTTCTTTAAAAACAAGTGGCTAAAATAACACTGAATGGTTAAGAGATGGAGTACCAAATGGCTGCACCTATTATATGAAATATCATATATATGAACAATTAGGGTTTCCTTCCTTCTCTTTTCTCTTTTTTTTCTTTTTTTATGTAAGTTGGGATAAGATTCACTTTATTTTTCCTAACTATGGAAATCCTACATTATGGTTTATACAGTCATTTTCATATAAAGTATTTCTACCAAAAAATAAATAAAACAAAAGCAAGATCCTACATTTTCTGTAATTTTAGTTGGAGAGGGAACCACAAACAGAATTTCAAAGGTTGTGTGTGACCTCAGGGATAGATTTCCCATTGTTACTTTATAATGACATTTCAACCTGAGTGGCAGAAGGAAGGTAATGAACTTCTGTAGACAGGTTCTGTACAAGAGTCATATAAAGCATACTAGTTAGTCATCCATATGTCTAATACAGTCCATATAATCCAATTAACTATTTACTTATTATACAAATTTATATGTCATCCAGTTCCCAATGATTCTGGGCAGCTAAAGTGATCAAATGTGGAAAAGACCTTCACAGAACCACTGTTTCAAGCCCAGCTCCACAAGAAATTTAGTACCAGGAACATAGTTTCTCTTCCTTAATCAAGCTGTTTGAAGTTATCTTCAGATGTGAAAAAAAAAATAAAAGAACTGATTCCTAGTTTGAGGCTTGTAGTTTAAAAAGTAATTTCTCACTAAACATAAGGATGTTCTTTCTGGAAAGAGAAAAAATGAATGCTTTTAAATCTTAATTAAATTTGTGCAGTTTTCTGAATACCAGAGGTTTGATAAACATGTCTTCAAGAATGACTTTCTTAGTCATGTGCTAATAGTGAATTTCTCAGGTACTAGGTTAATCAAACGAAGCTAGTTTTGAATATTTATATTTTTGATTTTCCACATAATATCATCATTCTTTTATTACATATTTTTGTTCTAGTGGGCTAAATGATCCAGACTTTGGTTTCTTTTTTATGACTTTTAAACTTATGTAACTAATGTCTTCCAAGGCCCGTAAATGCACATTCACCTGTCTGCTAATTGGCTATAAACTTAACCAAGCAGAATGAAGTGAAGAAAAAACTGCGGTTCTTCCTATCAAACTTTCCAAGAAACCTGTAGATATTATACATTTAGATAGTGATTTCCCAAATCACTGCATTTATAGCAGTATTGGTAGTTTCAGAAAGATAAAATTCCTGTAAACCAGACAAAATATTTTTCTTGATTTTTCCCAGACACAGCTAAAGTGCTAAGTTTCCCAATTATTTTCAAAACGATAAGCTTCTGTGTATCTTATGGTGTTGCAGTCACGCATTTTAGATTTTTTTTTTTATTATACTGCAACTTAAATTGAATTTACCTGTGGTCTCCAACTATTTTAGACCTACTGGGTATTTAGGAAAGGCAATCTTTTGATCTCTCTCTCTGAGGTCTGCAGGGAGGATTAATATCATGACATTGGAGCTCTACCATTCTTACATCTTTTTGAAGGGAATGTTTATGTCTCCTTTTTATTTTGCATCCATTCTTTATTTTATATTTTTAATTGAATTACTGATCTGCCTATCTAAAATAATTAAATTGGTTGAATTTATTCCACAAAGAAATTATCTAAATTTGTTCTGTATTTTTCCTGTGTTAACTGGTATTTAATTAGAAAATACCATTCTATGTATGATTCAATTGAACCAAACATATTTTTGGCAGCATTTAAGGATTTTTCTATGAATTGGGATGTTTAAAAACTGATAACCAGAACAGGGAAACTAAGTCCCAAAAATGCTGACAGGAATTCCACTTTAAAATACAGCAACAATTTTAACTATACAGGTGAAACTTGAAAAATTAGAATATCATGCAAAAGTTCATTTATTTAAGTAATGCAAGTTAAAAGGTGAAACTAATATATGAGATAGACTCATTACCGTGATTTGTCATAATTGTGATGATTATGGCTTACAGCTCATGAAAACCCCAAATCCACAATCTCAGAAAAGTAGAATATTACATGCAATCAATAAAACAAGGATTGTACATAGAACAATATCGGACCTTTGAAAAGTATAAGCATGCATATGTACTCAGTACTTGGTTTGGGCCCCTTTTGCAGCAATTACTGCCTCAATGCGGCGTCGCATGGAAGCTATCAGCCTGTGGCACTGCTGAGGTGTTATGGAAGACCAGGATGCTTCAATAGCGGCCTTCAGCTCTTCTGCCTTGTTCGGTCTCATGTCTCTTATCTTTCTCTTGGCAATGCCCCATAGATTCTCCATGGGGTTCAGGTCAGGTGAGTTTCCTGGCCAATCAAGCATAGTAATCCCACAGTCATTGAACCAGGTTTTGGTGCTTTTGGCAGAGTGGGCAGGTGCCAAGTCCTGCTGGAAAATGAAGTCAGCATCACCATAAAGTTTGTCTGTGGAAGGAAGCATGAAATGCTCCAAAATTTCCTGGCTGTGTTGACCCTGGACGTAATAAAGCACAGCAGATGACATGGCTCCCCAAATCAACACAGACTGCGGAAACTTCGCACTGGACTTCAAGAATCTTGCAGTGTGTGCCTCTCCATTCTTCCTCCAGACTCTGGGTCCTTGGTTTCCAAATGAGATGCAAAAGTTGCTCTCATCAGAAAAGAGGATTTTGGACCACTGAGCAACAAACCAGTTCTGTTTTTCTTTAGCCCAGGTAAGACGCTTCTGATGTTGTTTGTTGTTCAGGAGCGGCTTGACAAGAGGAATACAACATTTGAAGCCCATGTCCAGGATCCGTCTGTGTGTGGTGGCTCTTGATGCACTGACTCCAGCCTCAGTCCACTCTTTGGAAAGTCCCCAACACTTTTGAATGGCCTTTTCCTGACAATCCTCTCCAGGCAGCGGTCATCCCTGCTGTTTGGGCACCTTTTTCTTCCACACTTTTCCCTTCCACATAACTTTCTATTAATGTGGTTCGATACAGCACTTTGGGAACATCCAACTTCTTTTGCAATTACCTTTTGAGGCTTTCCCTCCTTATGGAGGGTGTCAGTGATGGTTTTCTGCACAACTGTCAGGTCAGCAGTCTTTCTCATGATTGTGATTCCTACTGAACCTGACTGAGAGACCATTTAAAGGCTCAGGGACCCTTTGCAGGTTATGGCTTAATTAGCTGATTAGAGTGGGACACTTTGAGCCTAGAATATTGAACCTTTTCACAATATTCTAATTTTCTGTGATTGTGGATTTGGGGTTTTCATGACTGTAAGCCACAATCATCTCAATTATGACACATAATGGCTTGAACTATCTTGCTTTGCATGTAATGAGTCTATCTCATATATTAGGTTCACTTTTTAAGTTGCATTACTGAAATAAATGAACTTTTGCACGATATTCTAATTTTTTGAGTTTTACCTGTACATACTTGCAATTCTTTCCATGGACATTATAGCTCAGATAAAGCAACCAGAGATGAAATTGGTATGAATATTTTTCTATTCTTTTTTGTCTTCTGCAGGTGCCAAGTGACTGCTGGTGCTTTTAGCTACTGTCTCAAAAAGAAATGCATTGCTTGAGGCCAGATCTTAGGGAAAGGTACTACTATTTGCTGATGAAAAAACATAGAACAATTCCAATCCTTTACAGTGAAAGAAAATGCCTATGTTTTGTCAGTTTCAAATAAAGCACTGCAAAGCCAGAAAAAGGCCATTTTAATATGGAAGGATAAAAACAATTCCAATAATACAGATACCATACCCTTTCAAAGAGCAGTCTCTCCTTTGCAAGATGGAATAAATAGCTCTTCAGAGCGGTAGTGAATTTCTCCTGCTTTACAAATTACATATTACATATTTGGCCTCTCATTCACTCCCCAGCTCCTCGTCCTATTCTCATTAGGCACAGAGATATCCCCCCCCCCAAAAAGTCTGAAATCTACCCTTAGCTCTCTCTCTCCCCCCAAAGTCTAAACTTGATGATACAGCTCTGAGTAAAGATCACTGAATTTTGAGAGACTTCCTTTTTTGTAGGACTGCATTATAAGTAGTCCTTTACATTTTAATTATCTACATTGATTAGTATTACTTATCCATTCATAAAAGCCTTAAGCTGTGAAACTACACACCTTGCTCACATGGGAAGATTTGGATATGTTTTGGTCAAAGTGCAGTGTCCCATGATATACTGCAGGGGTGTCAAACTTGATTTCATTGAGGGCCTCATCAGGGTTGTGTTTGACCTCCGAGGCCAGGATGGGTGTGGCCAGCTTGATGTCACTTGTGTCAGGGGGTGTCTGTAGTAGCCCGAGCCCTTTGCCAGCAAAAACAGGCTCCCGAGCTCCATTTTCTCTGGCAGAAGATGGCAGGAGTCCATCATAGCTGAAAACAGAGCCTGGGAGGGCTGCGCACGCAAACTCCGTTTTTGCTTGCAGAGGCACCACAGGCCAGTCCTTTGCTGTTTCTAGGGCAGCCCCCCAGGCCAGATCTAACCCCCCCGTGGACCGGGTCTGGTCCCCGGTTCTTGAGTTTGACACTCCTGATATACTGTATGTGTGTATGTGTTCCTTTGGGTCAATGTTGACTCCTGGTAGCTGTTAAGACAAATTCCTGATGTTTTCTTGGCAAGGCTTTTTCAAAACTGGTTTACCATTGCCGCTTTCCTAAGACTGGGACTAGAATATCCAGTTTGTAGCCCAATGCCTTAATTACTGAACCAAATTGGCTCTCATGATACATGACAATACTGTTTTGAAATTGAAGATGGGAGAGCAATTTTAAAATGATATTGAGGCTTACTTTAAAGAAATTGCATTATACATGCTGAACTCTGGAGACAATTAAAACAGTTGTTTTTTAGGCTAGCCATGGAAGTGATTTCATATTTATTTTTAAGTTTTAACCTATGTATTAGTGGCATTCTTTGTAATGACTTTTAATTTAATTGTATTTATCTATATTTACTTATTTATTTAAAAAAGATTTGTATGGCTACCTATCTTTAATTGATTTTATTAAACACACTGAGAGAGTTAATTAATTTAAATTTAATTGTGTTTAATAAAACTAATTTTTTTCAAGAATCATCATGAATTATAGAACTTCTTTTAGTACTTTAAAAAGAAAAATGTAGTTCTTTAGTTCTCAAATTCTTTTGCACTCTTCTTCAATCCACAATTTAAAATTCAATCATAAATGTATAGTAATTATAAGCAATTTTACAATCCATTAAGCTTGTTTTGTTTTAATTATAAATCTCCTTTGTTAGATTCCTATAAATGATCTGCTTTATAATTTCAGGCTGTTCAAGGGAGCACTTTAATTCAAGTACACATTCATCAACTGTTTATGTCCTGTTAATTGTTGACAACAGCACAATTGCATTCTCTAGCTATGATTGATGAATAGTATTCACACTTTACCTATTAAGAAAAATAATATTTATGATAATTTGTTTTTTGCGGAATAAAATAAAATTTAGGATAGAAAGAATCATACATTTTAACAATGTACTAAACTAGTGAGATATATATCAACACCTAGATATCTATAGAGATGTATAGATACAGATGATATATACAGTAGTTATTGATATAGATGATATATAGAGATATAGATATAAATAGAGAGGAATGATATGTAAAAAAATCATCAATTATTGCTGTAATTATTCCTTGATCAGAGAAAGAACACTATTAGCATTTCAAAGAAGGAACACAAAACTGAGATTTGTTCAGTGTAATAAAACTGTAATCAAGTCTTCTAACATATATTCTTCTATAGTCAGAAAATGTTAGAAGCCATTGCATTTTATAACAAGAAAAACGTATTTCTTTTTAATTAATGTACATTTTATATCCAAATATTCTTAATCATGTTAACCTCAGCTGTGGCTACTAATTTCTACCATAAATATTACTACTTAATTCATGTAGATATTAGCACGGGAAAGCTATATTACATCTTAAAATATTTGCACAAAAAGATTATTCATATTTCTCCACAATTAAAACAAAATAAATGCATATTTCTGAGTGAATCCTGCAAGAATTTTACAAAATAAACTATCAGAAAGACTACTGTTATAACATATTTCTTACAGCATGTTGTTCCATAAATTTGAATCTTATCATTTTATAATTGCAAATAGTATTTTAACAGTTACAGAAAATACCAGAAAGCAGAGGTTTTTAGAAATCCTCAAAACAGCTGCTACCATTTTTTCACTTCTGTATATAATGATGCAAATAATATATTATTGCAACAAATAAACTAAAATGCTGTAGATAATTACTAATATTTAAACAGTTCTTATTAAGCTTTAAAAAAAGACACTAAACACTAAACTTGCTATTTTGAGAGTATAATATCACAGTATTATGAACAAAACTAACAGAACTAGATTGCATCCAGAACATTAACTCTTTATATAATATGCACAAATAAAATTTCTATCTGATGTTAAAGTACCTGAAATAGCATTGGGACTTATGATAAAAATAGCATTTCCTCGTTACTGCATAAAAACACTATGAACAAGATGCTCCAAAGCAGATGGAGTGACAGATGGATTATAGATTGGGTTACTTAGATTCTGTCTGAAAAAAAAAAAAAACCCTCTGCTGCCCTTGTAAGATGATGTTCAGTTCTCAAAAAAATCTTATAGCTATTGCATAGGTATTCTAAATAAACATAGAGTTCATTGTTTCACTATTGCATAGGTATTCTAAATAAACATAGAGTTCATTGTTTCAATATTTCATGTATAAACAAATGTGCATATTTTATGCCAAACATCTCTACTGTAAAACTGTTTAAATAAAATAACTCATTCTCTGATATTTTTGTAGCAGATGGTGAAGATTTATCGTCTAATGGAATTAAATACTAAATTACTACTGGTCCAAAGATTTTAAATTAATTACCTTCCTTCATTGATGAGCTCAATAAAAGCAAGTCCAGCATTCTTCTGAATAGAATTTTGCCATTCCTAAAGGAGAAGAGGGAAAAAAACCACAATTTAGAAAGTGGCAATTCTTCTGAAAATGTAACTATTTTTATTAATTTAAAATATTCAGAACTCTGATTTACATTGTTTTTTTCTAGCCACTATAGTTTATTGAAATGTAATGCAATACTCTGCATTGTTCAAGGACATCAGATATCTAAATCCAAAATAATAGACCCACTTGTGAAGTTTTCTTTTGATCATCATTAAAAAAAAAAACCTTTGCTGCTGAATTTTTTAAATAATGAATTTTTAAACCATACATTTTATAAATATTTTAGAAAATAAATATATTTTATTATATACAGTATTTTTATAGTTCAGTTTTGGATGAAATTCTAAAAATGACAAAATTACATTCTACTCAGTTTCCATAACCAGGTTTGAAAGTAGATGGTGGTCCTTTAAAAATTTAATCTCTTCCTCAGAATTTGATTAGACTTGGTACAAGACTGTCAAATATGACTTATCAAAAGTATAGACTTTAATGCTGACAAAGGCAGGGCTTATATGTAAAACTATGATCCACTATTGAAACTCTAAGCTTGGCTCCCTGCCATCTTGATTCAATGGATATTTTGCTGACTTCTTGCTGACTCTGTAAAGCAGAGGAGAAATATCTGAATATCTATTCTCTTTAAGAAACATATCTTTCTCCTTAACTGCTTTTCTTTCTTACAAGTTTACAAGAGAACTATAACATATAAGATAATTTGAATTATAGTTTAGTATTATGGGTCATTCTCTAGTGCAGTCAGTAGAGATTTGCAAGTTAATCATGTCATTTGATTCCAACTAAGAGTTGCCATAGTTGACAAACAAGTCAACTAATCATACTTAAATTTAACCTAAATTTAAGCTAAGGATTCAGATGACCTCTAAATTCTGGTTAATTTAAAAAAGGGAACTGGAATGTTCTGATTTTCTTATTGTAAGCCCTGAGAGAAATGCATGAAAGTGGAACACAAAAGCCAACTTGGTTTATTTATAAACCAGATAATAGAATTATAGATATTGACATGATATCCTAAATATTCTTAAATAGATTTCTAGCAAAGATATGATAATAATTATTCTTTACCTAGCTCTTTTTTAATGCACAGGTTAAAAACTCTTATCTTAGTCAATTGATATTTCCAATCTTCCAAAGATTTAATCTTAGAAAACTAGCCATAACATGGGTTTTTCTAACCATATTTTTAATTTCTCCAAAAAGTATTTCAATAGATTTTGGCTATATTATGAAAAACAATAGAACTATGTGATTATCTCAAGTTCTTAAGGCAGAAAATACAAAATAGGATATATTTCTTTCTGTTGAATTTAAAAACAAAACAAAACAAAAATGAATAACCCTAGTTCCTGCTATCTTGGGATATATCAACACCAACTCCAAGACTATTTCTGTTTGCAGAGATAGAATGATTATTGTACAATGGGCTGGAGAATATACCATAATATATGTGATTTGGGAAGAGGTTGTGTTTGATTCCATGTTTTAACTAATCTGCTAATTTCCAATGACATTCCCAAAGTATTTTAAACATGTCATTTCCAACTATTTTATTTTCTCCACATCGTCACTTAAAACAGGGTAAGGAACAAAATACTAATAGATCAGGAGCCAATTCCATCATTGCAATTCCTCCTGACAGATACGTTTATATATGTCCTGGCCTCATGAACAACAGCTTCTTATCTAGGTTATTAGCATACTAAATATGTCAAACTAATTTCATGGTCATAAATATAGTCCAAGGTTAGAACAAAAGCAAGTTCACTGACAGTCTCCAAAGAGCAAGTAAATAGGGAAGTCCAAAGGAAAGTCACACTGAAATCTCAGAGACTTTTTTTCTTTTCTTTTTCTTTTTTGGCCACAAGAATTACAAATCCCACTCCAGTTAGTCAAGAGTTGAGAGGAATCAAGAAAACGATGGACTGGAAGCCTGAGGGAAAAAAGCAGCTTAAAAAATATCAAGATTATCAACAGTTCATACTTGATTTTCTATACTCAGACTGTCTCAAAGGTAATTTTTCCAAGGACCTTTGGGTGGGGGGGCTGTCCTTTGTTTTTTGAGTTTTTCCAAGACCTTTGAAAACGTTTTGCTTCTCCTGGAAGCTTTTCCCAATTCTCTCTCCCTCTAAACACTTATTGATATGCCATAATCTTGATGGATCATACATAATGTTCCTGGCCAATAACAAAGCTACTCAGGCCACTACTTTCTGGGCCTCAAATACTACACTGCTCAAAAAAATAAAGGGAACACAAAAATAAGACATCCTAGATCTGAATGAATTAAATATTCTTATTAAATACTTTGTTCATTACATAGTTGAATGTGTTGACAACAAAATCACACAAAAATTATCAATGGAAATCAAATTTAGCACCCATGGAAGTCTGGATTTGGAGTTACACTCAAAATAAAAGTGGAAAAAAACATTACAGGCTGATCCAACTTTGATGTAATGTCCTTAAAACAAGTCAAAATGAGGCTCAGTAGTGTGTGTGGCCTCCACATGCCTGTATGACCTCCCTACAACGCCTGGGCATTCTCCTGATGAGGTGGCGGCTGGTCTTCTGAGGGATCTCCTCCCACACCTGGACTAAAGCATCCCCCAACTCCTGGACAGTCTGTGGTGCAAGGTGGCATTGGTAGATGGAGCGAGACATGACCCAGATGTGCGCAATTGGATTCAGGTCTGGGGAACGAGCGGGCCAGTCCATAGCATCAATGTCTTCGTCTTGCAGGAACTCCAGCCACATGAGGTCTAGCATTGTCTTGCATTAGGAGGAACCCAGGGCCAAACACACCAGCATATGGTCTCACAAGGGGTCTGAGGATCTCATCTCGGTACCTAATGGCAGTCAGGCTACCTCTGGCGAGCACATGGAGGGCTGTATGGCCCCCTAAAGAAATGCCACCCCACACCATTACTGACACACTGCCAAACCGGTCATGCTGGAGGATGTTGCAGGCAGCAGAACGTTCTCAACGGCATCTCCAGATCCTGTCACACCTGTCACATGTGCTCAGTGTGAACCTGAGTTCATCTATCAAGAGCACAGGGCGCCAGTGGCGAATTTGTCAATCTTGGTGTTCTCTGGCAAATGCCAAACGTCCTGCACGGTGTTGGGCTGTAACACAACCCCCACCTGTGGACGTCGGCCCCTCATACCACCCTCATGGAGTCTGTTTCTGACCCTTTGAGCAGCCACATGCACATTTGTGGCCCGCAGGAGGTCATTTTGCAGGGCTGTGGCAGTGCTCCTCCTGTCCTTCCTTGCACAAAGGCAGAGGTAGCGGTCCTGATGCTCGGTTGTTGCCCTCCTACGGCCTCCTCATCTCCTGATGTTCTGGCCTGGCTCCTGGTAGCGCCTCCATGCTCTGGACACTACGCTGACAGACACAGCAAACCTTCTTGCCACAGCCTGGATGAGCTGCACTACCTGAGCCACTTGTGTGGACTCCGTCTCATGCTACCACTAGAGTGAAAGCACTGCCAGCATTCAAAAGTGACCAAACTATCAGCCAGAAAGCATAGGAACCAAGAAGTGGTCTGTGGTCACCACCTGCAGAACCACTCCTTTACCAGGGATGTCTTGCTACCTGCCTGTGCTTTCCACCTGTTGTCTATTCCATTTGCACAACAGCATGTGAAATTGATTGTCAATCAGTGTTGCTACCTAAGTGGACAATTTGATTTCACAGAAGTGTGATTAACTTGGAGTTATATTGTGTTGTTTAAGTGTTCCCTTTATTTTTTTGAGCAGTGTATATAATGTCAAAGTGCTTTCAATTCTTACTGTGTTTTAATTTTTATATCTGTCATGTAGTTATTGAAAGCTTTCATTATTTAGATTATTACATAAATTTTAAATATTATATTTCTCTTTTAATGTAAGATGCTTTGGATTCAGAAAATAAATAAATAAAAAATAAATAAATAATCCTTTTCTCCCTGCTTTACCCCCATTTGATTGTATTCTTGAGGTATGGATGTGATGAACTTATTTTCTGGATAGGGATAATGGAATTTGTTGCAAGCTCAGCATAGCTGCTGGGATCTGTAAGTATTGCATATGGTTCTTGGGATGCCCACCCTGGTTACTGGTTTTATCTCAGGACAATTCTTGAGATATAATGATGAAAAAAAGGGGAGGAGGGAGTTGAACTATTCAGCATGCAATTCATTAAAACCTCTGTATTTGGTTCAAATGTCAACTAATAGCTGCATTGCTTAAAATAGTATAAATGGTGCCTGAAGGTTGGATCAATCAGGAGTTTGCTGCCAATTTCAGAATTAACTGATGCCTCTAAGGCTGTTATATACCATGCCTCACAGTAATCTAATCTGGATGCATGAAGTATAATGATTAGGTCATCCTTTATCAGAGAAAAATTGCAGCAGGCATAACAATACAAGCTATCATAAGGCATTCTCTTCTTCTACCACCTCCATTATACTGGAACATTAAGGAGCAAAATAAGATATAAATAAGAACACAGTCAAGATTTAACTCTAAAGCTCTCTTGAATATAGATGCCATAAGAAAATGACTTGTTAGTTATATGCCTTTATAACTAGATGGAAGGACTTTATAGATCTTTTATTAGTTTGTGGGTAAGAATTATTTGTTTTTATTTTAAGATTAATTAAGATAACCTTGAATAACTTTTTTAAAAGCACATTAAACTAGAACCTGCCTCAAAGTAATTTATTGAGTCAATATATCACTATATTAGCATTACTACCTAAACAGATTATTATATGGGTATTTCTTTCAAGTATTATCCTCAGCTTTAGAATAAGAGTTCAAAAATATAGTATAGTAGAATCTTTTACATTCTCTTCATGTGAATTTCATAGTAATTCTTATCTATTATTTTTTTATTAGAAATCAAACACTTTTTAAACGCCCAAGTAACATTTCAAGGGTGATCTTATAGTACCTATGAAAGTAAACTTATTCTAACATTGGAACTACATTTTTTTCCCTTTAGTGTTGTTTCTTTATTAAAAAGAATCACCAAATATAAACAAGTAATGCTATCACAGCCAGAAAGTGCCTCTTTGTTAATCAGAAGAAGGTAATCATATTTTAGCATCTCCAAACAGAATCAAGGAGCAGTTTCACTCTATAGTTTAGCATCTGCTATATTAAACAATTATTATATGTAAGCCTGATACCTCCTTTATTTCTGCCACTAATGTGTCTAACAGAAAAAAGTTTTATTTTAATGTTGTTATTTACAATAGAAAGATGAAGACCCATTTGAAATAGCGTAATTATATTTGAATATATTATGATTCTGAATAGGAAAAAAATACAACAATCTGGAAATACTTAGAATCTATTGTAGTTCTTGAAGCAAAAAGAAAAGAAATATTAATGAATATCAAATATGCTTTTAAAAAGGAAAACCAAACTTTGGGGAAAATGGCATGGTTTACTGAGAAATCTACTACAGAACAGTATCACAGAAACTATCAGATATCACAATAGATATCACAACTAGACTATAGCAAACAAAGACTAGTTAATAAAAGACAGATCTTGTCAAAATCACCATCTTAATCTCACCCTCCCCTGAAAATCAACCCAATTCAAGTGTATGGAATATGTTATTTATTATAAATTTTCTAAGGACATTGCAGACTAAATCAATCTAAATATGACACAGGCTCATATTTGGGAAATGCAAAGTGTTAGTACACATGAAAGAAAAGTACTGTAAAAGGACAATAGTAACCAAAATATAAAAAGAAAAGTGGTTTCTCAGTGTCGAATAATGCAGTATCCCTATAGGAGTTCCTGTAAAGCTTAAAGCAAATTTTTCACAAAGACATAATTCCTCTGGGGACAGTCTTGATTGCATATCCTTCAGAGTCTAAAAACCTGCCCATATGAACTGAATTATCCATGACATGTACCTTCAGACGTTTGTAATGTGATATTTCATGTAAATTTAGACCATACCTTGGACATGAGCCGCTGGCAATGTTAAGTTTACTCAGGAGCTCAGATAAGAAAAAAAATGACATCCTTGCTAATCTGTAGTCGTTAACATGGAATTTCCAAATAAAGAGCATAAAAGCATCTAATTTGCTGTAGCAAATGAAAAGAAAACAAACTTTGCATTTCCCTTTCCTTTTCAATGTCTACTATTACCCTAGTTTATGTAAATAAACGTCTTCAAAAGCCTTCTCAATCATCTATCTTTTTGAAGATACATTTATCTTCAAAACAGACTGCTAACACAGATTGCAAAGTGCAATTAATTTTGAACACAAAATCAAAGTCTTGAACACTGTATTGCCAGTATTTGGGGTGAAGGGAGAATAACACTGTGAACTGTAGGCATTGTATTTCTCTACCAACAAAAGGCATTTTTCTTACACAGGAAATTTCTCTCAATGGAAACAGAGGTGATATTTTACTTATTTTCCTTTCTCCCCACAATATCTATACTTCTAACTTCAGCTATGGGGCAAAGATACATAAACTAGGGAACCGGCAAAAATACATTATTTTACTGAAAATAGTATTAAATAGGCTTCAGTCAATAGGATAAGGCTTCAATCCACAGAAAAACCCATTGAATGCTCAGAAGATCAAAAATATAAAAATAAAGTCAATGAAATGTTTTAATATGTAATCTAATGTTACAAAAATATCAGATTTTTTAAAAGCCTCTACTTTTATTTTGCTCTTATTTTAATAGCTAATATTGGTTACTACAGTTGGATTATATTGGTCCTGTAAAATATTTCTATAGACATACATGTCATTTAGCGACCTTGGGACTGGCAATTTGGTTATTATAGGCTGTTCGAAATAATCAGTGTGAGAGCATGAGACAGCATCTTTGTAATATCTGCAAGCCCAATGGGGATGTCTTACCTCTTTCCTTCAAAAAGAAGAATCTGTCCATATTGCAGATTGATCATTATTCATACAGCTGGCTGTGTTCCAATTTACATATATGTCTCATGCAGTTCATCCTTAACTACTTTTCTGTTCCACTATATATTTACCTTTTTACCCTCTAAAGCAAAACATTTTAAGAACCTCCTTTCCTTTCCACAGAATGAAATAATGCAGGTTTTTTTTTCCACCACTACTGTCATTCTAAACAAGTAGCCTATTTCCCAGGTAGACTGCTTCTGTGTACCACCAGCTGAGAAAAAAAATGGATTAGATTATATCCAAGTATGTTCCAATTACCCTTGGCCTCTAGGACAAGAAGAGCAGGATGTTGGAAGAGAGCCATCTTGTCTCTCTATATGCTAACTAGAAGTGAAGCCATAAAATGACTGTACGATATGGCTTCATATTTCATGAACAACAATAAAATCATTAGAAAAATGTAATGAGCTGTGTGTGAGAGAGTTCTACTAGATGTATACTGATTCTATCACTAATATTTTATGTGTTGGAAAAGCCATATTTTTAAAAAATATTGTTACAACATATAGCATCAATTTAAAATATTCTTTTTCTTGCGAGATTTTTAATCAATTAAGAAATCCTTCTTCAAGTGAAGATCAATTCTTAAACTTTTATTTTCAACTTCTAGAAAATAGCTAAGCATTTTATGTCCTTATTAGAAATCAGTTGAATCTTCCTCTTCTTATTAAGATAATTCATTAATATCATTTGAAACACTGAGCTATAGCCCTTTGGATTTCCTCTTCACAAAGCGCATGACCTTAAATCAGGGGTGTCAAACTGGCAGCCCGCAGGCCAGATGCATCATGCACAGGCCACACCCACACCCACTCCGGCTCCGCAAAGGCAAAAAACATCACATTTTGTCCCAATACGTCATGTGTCGTGATCAAGTTTGACACTTGTGCCTTAAATAAACCATTCTCATGATTGTGGGGCAGCTGTGGAAGATAATGAGGTGAACTTGGGAAAAAGACACAATTGTTTTAATGTATTGAGGAAAGTTCCTTCACTTGCATTTTGGCAGAATTAATCTAAGTGCTATCTGGAAGTCAAATCTGAAGCACCATACAGTTCTATGGTAGACTTCAAACAATTCTATAATTTAAAAAAATGAATATTTTCTTTATTTTGTGAAATTACAAGTAAAATATCTGATCTGATATTTGGGGGCAGAAGTAAAGTGAAAGTTTATAATAAGTCCATCTAAGACTGCATTTAAAATAATGTGTTTAGTTGGAATATATAAAAATATCATCTAAATATATATTCCAGGATAACATTTCAAATTTAAAAACAATTGCTTTGTTTATTGCACAAATTCTATATAAGGATGAAAGGGAAGGTGAAAAAACAAAGAAGCTTGAATTTCTCACTCTTTCCACAATCAATAGTTGAGGCACATTACATCTCTAGAGTCCTTAATGGCAGGAATTCCTGGAGCCAGCAAATGAGTAATATTAAACCTATGATTAGATGAAGAGACCATCAAAACACACTAAGCTGTATTGCAGCATTCCACTTTATCTCTGTGAGCTGCAGTTAAAACAAGGAGCAGGGAAGAATATATTGTATTAGTCTAGTCTAAGCATCTGCCTATGAACAGCTTGTGAGAGAATTCAGTGGACTTAAATATTTGGAACTTTCTTCACCTAAGGATTTAACTACTATATAACACGTTTTGAAAGGTGTTTTTTTTTTGCAAGAAAAGTTTTGAAACTCAACCACAATGAGCATTCCAAATACAGACATCTTTTATTTAGATATTTTAGACTGCTAGAAAAAGTCTTTCCCTCTTTTTTATGTTTTGAAGAATCAATTTGTGGATCAGCAAAATGTGAGTAAGCAAAGTCTATTTCAGACTTAATTCTCATTTAATTATGTTAACATCTGCAAATATAATTTTATTATTAAAATGTGGCTCTACATTTTACTAGCAAGCATATAGCTATGGCGAATTTGCCATATTTCCAGGAATAAGCACTTTAAATATAATTTTATATCAAATTTATTTAAGGGAATATAAAGAAGTGTGGGAAGAAGTAACTATTCAAAAGCAGATATTAGATTATTTGGGGAAAAAATCAAATTAAAATGATAGCTGATAATTCATTTCACAGTAATGCTTACCTTTTGATTTATTATCTATTAGAATAAAAACAAGTCACATTTCCAGATTTATACTTTAGATAATCATTTTTTTTCAACATGTGTTATGCTTGTCCTACAGCAATTGACCCAACGATTCCCAACCATGCACATCATTTGTATTCATGTGCATATCTGCAATGCATCTTAGTCACATGCTTCCAATTGTCTACATTGGAATACATTGCTATTTATCGATATCGAAGTTTTCAGAAGTAATACCTTATTTTAACTGGCATTCATAGGCAATATTGTCAAAAAGAAATACAAACCAAATAATTAAACAAATTGCTAATAATAGCTAATAAATTTTCTGTTGATATCAGTTATTATACTTATTTAATTATGTATTATTTTGTTAAGGCTTTATCAATTGGATATCACCACATTTTCTTGAAGTAATATTTAATGTTTATTTTAAAAAAATAAAGATGTCTTTGTAATGGATTTTATAATACCAGTTTGGTTGCTCTATAAGCTCTAGAACAGTATTAAATAGTTACTTTTTCAATATACAGATGGAGCTGCATGCCTCTAATGATTATATTTCTCCAAAGAAAAAAAATGAAAGTAGTATTTGTAAAAACTAGGAATCACCTTACTTGTGAACAAAGAAGCATAACAAGTTCAACCACTGAGGTGCTTGATTTCATGCAAACCAGTCCTGTAAAAAAGTGAAAACAAGGATTAATTCTGCAAAGCGCTAACTATAAGATGCAATGTTAATTTGATTTTTGTCAAATAGTTATATAGGTCAGGCCCTGTAACATTTCAATAAAATATATCTATCAAAGATTTCTCAGAATAATCTCCAAATATCTTAAATCGGAAACCATTTATGACCCAATTATATGTATTTTCCACTCAGTAGTAAAGTAAACCTTATATTATACGAAACATGGAAAGTGCTGTAAACTGGCACAAAAGGAATTCTATGCATTTTAGAAATATGAGCCATGTCATTTGCTCAGTTCAATATACATGCAGAAGAACAGATTATTTCTAGATTGAATGAGTGAATGAATAACTTATATTGTTTTTTTATTTGAAGATTCAAGGTAAGTACTATATAATGGAAGCTGAACTCTAATGCCAAAGCAAACTCCTTGAGTTATAATTATTAAATTTAAGTATCATACTATACAAGATTTTAAATCTTCAAGTTTCTTGAATTGAATGTTTAAAAATGCTGGGTTTTTTATTTTAATAAATTTCTCAGACATTGAGATATACCATCACACTTACCACCATTAATCAGAAATGAATATTTCTGATTAATACAGAATAGTATTTATTTCTGAGCTGTTCAAATACCCATACAAATATTTTCAAAGATGGTTTTTGCCTGGTTTTCCCAACTGCCTTGCAATGATTAAAACATGTGTCTTTTAAGGTTTTAAATTCATGTTATGCCCCATTCTGTTCTGGAGGTTTCACCTGTTCAAATACCATGCCATAACTTGAATTAATAATTAGGCTGCCTTATGCATCCTTTCCATTTGGCAGATACTGTAGAAGTACTGCAGAAGTTATTCCAACGAACACTTTATTTGCCTTACGTTGCCAGGTACAAATTCTATTTTAGATAAATAGCATACAAAACAGAAAGTATTATATGCTATCCACTATATTTTTAAAATTATGTTCATCCTTCCCCCTCAGTTAATATAAATATCTATTAACTGTATATTAAGTAGAAGAGAACATTTTCTCTATGTACTACTGAATTTTCAATAGGTTGATTTATATGTTAGTTAGAGCAAGAGTGTCAAATTTAAGGCCCAGGGGCTAGACCCAGCCCGTGGAGTGCTTAGATCTGGCCTAGAAACAGCGAAGGACTAGCCCGAAGTGCCTTTGCCAGCAAAAACGGAGCTCATGTGTGCGACCCTCTCCGGCTCTGTTTTCAGTCACGATGACCTCCTGCCTCCTTCTGCCAGTTTTCACTCTTTTCTGTTTTCACTGGCAGAGGGCGGCAGGAGGCTGAAAGCAGAGCTCAGGAACCCATTTTTGCTGGCCGAGGGCTCGGGCTACCACAGATACCCCCTGACACAAGTGACATCAAGCTGGCCACACCCACCTGGCCATGCCCACCCCGTCCCCCAAGGTCAAACACAACTCTGATGAGGCTCTCAATGAAATTGAGTTTGACACCCCTGAGTTAGAGATACATACTTAAGTTAAGCAGAGAGCAAACTGAATCATTCAATGGTAGATGAATGGATGAATGGAACAAAGGAAGTTTTAGTTCATTCCTGAATTAGTATACATTTGATTCTTTGCTCTTAAAAAGGTCAGGACTATAAACTTCCCTGACTGAGAGCTGTTGCACACAGAAATATAGCTATTTGAAGTATACATATAAAAAAGGAACAGGGAACAACTGTTTGCTAGAAAACCGATGAAGTAAAGAAGTTTATTAGCAGGCCAGTCTTTCACCCATATTTTTCACAAATGTTTTTGTCAAAGTCAGCTGGTAATTATGGGAAGGTGAATCTATTAAATCTTGCACAATCAGGAGACGTCTCAGGGGGACGAGCGGTCTGCCACCTCCAAGTGGTGTCCCCTGGATGCGC